AAGCAGGAACTGGTTCCATTTCAAGTGGAACAGTCCCTTTGATTTTAAAGAATGACACAGTACGAATAGCAACGGAGGGAAACTATGGTTCAATAACAAGCATTGTTAGACTTTGAAGTGATGTAATAAATGTACTCCTGCAATGACCTTCAGGCGTAGCACCGTTGTTGATAAGTGCGATGGCTTGCGACCGACAACATCAGGCGTAGTGCCCAACTTTAAAACGGTTTTTGCACTTAAGGCTGCTTGCAGAGCAATTGGAAAAGTTAACTTTATGAGAAGCAGTTCCACAGACAAAGCAAGATGGTTTGTCCGCTGGTAATTGTCAGGAAGACTGCACCTCTGCTACCTCAGCTGACCTGGTCAAACAGAACTATTTCGATTGCACTGAAATCTCGGTTTTCATTCTGGTTAACTAGCGAGCACGATCCCACGTTAATGTACACGCCTGTGCCTTCGAAAGCGCCTCAAAATGAACAATGATTTATAACGGGTAAAATCTAACTGTTGGACATGTCTCGTAGGATGGTTAGAGTGAGAAAAGATAGATCGAGATCGTCGATTAGAGCAAGTACAGCTTTAACTGTACTGCTGTATAAAGGGAGTTTGAACTTATGTGGCTACACAAAGCGATGAGGGGTGGTTATTGATTAAGTAGTAAGCGAGAAAAAAAGCAATGACGGCGTTTATTCGTGTGCATCTATCTCGAGTCGACGGGAGACAAAACCCCAGTTTCTGCAGTAGTAGCTTTCTCAAATTCCGGGCAAGGGGTTTGGAGTTACTCATTCTCGACTAGGGTTATGGCACTGACCACTGTCTCTTGTGCATTAGTGTCGGCATCTGGTGGTCATGGGCTATATCACGTAGTGTATATGTGACAGAGTAACGTCAAGGCGATATTTGAAAAGGGGTAGGGTGGGGGCAATAATTACATGTTCCGCGAGGGCGTTCCAGGGCTGTGACACTCGAACGGAGAAATAGTTTCGCCGAAATTCCAGGCGGCTGTAGTGCGAGACCAGCTTAAACTGATGACCTCTTAGCGCGGTGTTTTGACTGAGTATTAGAAGGTGGTTGAGGTGGTTGAGGTTTCTCAGTATCAGGTACACCATTATGAGATCGCCCCTTAGACGCCGATAACTTCCACTGTATATTTTGAGAGTATTTAGCCTGACTGGTTAGGACAGGCTGGTCAAACCTCTGACGCTCTTGGTTGCCCTACATAGTGCAGTGTTGAGCGCGGTGAGATGGTGCTTGAGTTAGGGTTGCCACACTTGAATAACGTATTCCGCGTGCGGCCACATGTACGCTCCAAACATTTTTGGTAAGGCTGAAGGGTCAAACTTCCCGAAAGCTCTGCGAAGAACGCCCAGGTGCTGGTTTGCTTTTTTAGATGCCTTTTCAGTCTGCCTCAAACAACCGAGGTCATCTTAAAATAACACGCCGAAATCGAGCTCGGGGAAGCCCACTGCAGAATTTGTGGTCCTAGGCAGTATTGTGTATACTCTTGTGCTGTATGCTGAGAACTATACACTTGGTAACTGTAACGTCCACCGTGAACGTTGAATAACGCGTAGCTAAAGATCCCGAAATCAAAACAAGTCGGATCACAAATACTACGGTACTATTAAAATATATACAGTTGATAATTGGGACATACTTCAATTGTTCAGTATCCCGGTGTATGCAAGTTGACAACAAGGTGTCAGTAAACAATAGGAGGGACGAGTTTTCTACGCCGGACAATCAAGGGAACAAGTCACCACACCTGAGTGCTACGTGTATTAAGCTTAATGGCGTTGACCAATCAAGGGATAGTCCAATCACAGGGTAAGGGTTTAATGGCATGCATAAACATGGTGTTTGGACAAGCGACCAGTGAACGGGGGTGGGGGTGCGACACATGCTCCGGGCTGAACATGTGATGTTCGGCGAAGAGTAGGGTTGGAGATCCAAGGTCGTCGGTAGCCGCACACGCACGGAACCAGTGCCGGGATTAGCATGCACACACAGACACACCTACAACGCTAACAATGGGAATGTAAGGAGTCGCACATGAACGCTGGTCGATATCCATCAACGATCGGCCAAGGTCTGTAGACTAGACCACGAAGCGAAGAGTAGAAGAAATTCATGGGTAAATAAGCGCGTTACAGTGACATTGAAGTGCAGCATGTTCTCGATGGACCATATGTATGCTTTGTCCAGGTCCTCCTGTAACCCTGGGAATCCTCCACTGTAGCTATAGTACGCCATACCTTTAGATCATGGGCAAATAGCAAACAGTTAGGAGATAGTACGCTCCCGAGATAATTTATGAAAACCAAGAACAGGCGGGGTCTAATCACCGAGCCTTGAGGTACGCCGCACTGAACTTCGATGGATTCCGATAGCTTGCTTCTAACCCTCATATTCAGGTGACTTTGAAACGAAAGTCTCATATTTAGCCCAGAACAGGATCGCCGATTCCATATTTATGGAGTTTGTAAGTGAGAATGCGATGATCTATACTGTCGAATGCCTTTGAGAAATCCAAGTAGGCCGCGTCGACTTCTACACCAGCCTTCACAGATTCCGTCCAGCTTACACGAACAGTCAACAGATTGCTGGTACAGGAACGATTTGGGCGAAATCCGTGCTGCTCCGGAACGCGCAATTTTTTATCCCCCAGGTACCCCACCAAAACCTCGGCTACAATGGACTGCATAAGCTGGAGATCACAGGAAGCGGTGGTCTCGAGCGATAACTTGTTGGTTCAGTACGGCCGCCATTTTTGTAGATTGGCGTAATGATTTTGTGCTTCCACGTCTTGAGGACGTGCATCTCGTTCAGACATCGTTGAAAGAAAATTGCTAGTGGCGCCGCTAAACTCGTGGCAGCAACTTGCATCGCCTTCGGGTGAATGCCATTCGCACCCGGGGAGCTGAACTCGCGCAATCAGCCTCTTCAGTACAGCTGCGGAGGTGAACGATATGTGATTAAGCTGTGATGGCGGCATTATCTGCTTAGACAGGATGTATGATGATTAAACGCTTTGGAACGTACGGCCAAATTGTTGTTCAAGGATGTTGACTGCCAGTTGTGCGGTTTGGGCTAACCAGCATGCTGTGTGCAGAGCAAAAATACCGCGCTTAACATGGCGCAAATTGTTTACGTGTCTGTATAGCAGTTTGGGATTGGAACAAAACTTTTCCACTATACCTTGTTGGTCCTTCAGTTTATTCTCCCAGACAAGTTTGACACCGTGATTCCTTTGTATTGTGTAGACATCCCAGGTATCGTCGTTCGGGGAAGCTATGCCAAGCCCCTTAATGCCATGCATTTACGTGTACGTATACGTTTGTCTGCGATTCCAGTACTCAGTTGCTGAGTCGGCATACAACCTTCGAAGTGGTTCTGAGGAATGGACCTATAAGCACACGATCGTACTATACGATTTAACTGGGCAATGAAATCGTTCAAGGGTTCGTCTGTTTCGTGATGCATGTGGGAGAAAACGTACCTTGTAGTAAACACATTCATTTAGTAACCCCATGTACGATCGAGAGCGCTGAAAGTTTCTTTAACGGATTTACATCCTTGAAGGCCCAAATCGTCAAACTGTCGCTGCCCCTCATCTCCTAGTAAATGTCGAAGCAGCTTCAATCAGTTTTCCTCACTAATATCAGAATGAAAATCGCTGATTAAATCCAGGTAGTTTTGGAAGAATGTTTTCCAACGGAGCTAGCCATCTGATGTTCGCCTACTACCGCAGTCAGTCCAACATGTAGATGGGGCTGAATGGAAACGTTCATCATCGCACTCGCAGCGTCAAAGTGTTGTATCAAAAAGGCAACAGAAACGCAGCATGTCTATTGGTGCGAGATTAAGAGGTACACAGAGAGATAACGCACAGTACATCAATGTTGAGCGTTTGTTTTCACACAACCAATGAGAAGTGAGATGCTCTTTTCCATCTAGCCAATGAAACATGAGTTACGAGTGACGTTTGATGGGTTGGCCACAACCCACTTCATTTACTGAACGCTGCTACTGCGGAATACGTTTATCATACACTCACACTGGATTTAGGTACCACTTGGACCCAAAGAAACAACGGTGAAGGGTGCTTTCCTTTTCATTTTTCTCACCGACTACGTCGAAGCTAATTGCTCCTCATATTGTTTTGTGTGCTTACATTGAATTTCTATTTTACACCATCGAGATGTAGCATTTCGTATAAATTGGCAGACCCTTAAATTGACGATTCAAATGTGTTCCGATGTAGTCGTTTCTACCCAAACTATCCTACGAGACTCACCAAGCACTTACTTTTTTACCCCTGATAAATTACTGTTCATGGTTCATTGACTTTCGTTCAGTGCGGTTGTTACAACTAAATAACTCTAAAATCCTGCATTCAGAAAGACAAGTAAGCGAATATGTAGATAACCTGCGGTCGTTAGTCGTAGGGTGCAACAGTTTGGCTAACTCTCCGGTAAAGGCTAAGCGTAAGTGATTCCCATTCGGGTCAGATACAAAATATATAGTGTGCGCTGGTTAATCTTATCTTTGGTTTATCAGCTTGTACATGGCAGGCCATTCCTAACCTGCATGGCTTGAAGTGGAATTCCACCTTGCGCTACATAGCTTGATGACCATTAGCTGATGCGTAATGAAAACGTAAAAATATGCACATTTCGCATGCAATCAGTTCCCAATCGCTAATGGGTAGTGGAGCAACTGGGAGAAATAGCAATCTCCGTAAGAGGATTCTACATGCCTTGTCAAACTTTGGGATGCCATTATGAGAAGGTGCATAATTAGTTAGTTTGACCGGAAGATTTAAGAGAATACATGTAGTTCTTGACAGATCCTAGGGATTTTGGGACGTTTTACAAAGAATTCTGGATGTCCAGCAGAATTGCGGTTGGAATGTTCTATTTGCTAAACACCCCCGAAACCACTTGGGATACAGCTCGCTGGGTTGCGAATGCCGCACAAGAATATAAAGTAGCTAGTACCTTGGTACCATTGTAGCAGCTGGACAACATCGGATGGACCGTTGTACATCAGAAATTCTTCGTGCAGCGCTGGACCCAACACACAAAACGCGTCGAGCATGTGAAGCTGCAATTCTTCCCAAAGCACTGGCGGCCATTGCTTGCTTCCTTTTCGCTTGATTGCGTTCTGTGCGGTGTCCAACTCCTTGGCCTGCGATATTTTCTCGATGCCGTTGCTTTCGCCACTTCCGATATTTTGCTCTTGAGTAACTTTGTAGTCACATCCAGGATGCGAATCGCGTTCTTCGCAGAGCTGTGGATCCGGATTGGGAGTTGCACACCTCTCGACGACAGGCAGTTGGCCCGATACCATGTTCGTTGGCCGATCGCTGATTTCAGCTTTTCTTTGTTCACAAATGGTCTCCGATGGACGGATCCACTTCAAGAGGGCTGATATCAATCCGGTTCTAGTAAGTGCCTACAAAAAATGAACCATTTCATTTTAGTCACGTTGGTTGTGGTTGTACATTGAGACCATAATCCGGTCTAGACTGGCGAATTACTTTAGTGCACTGGTTCTCAACCTGATGGTAATTATCCCCAAAAGGGTAAAATAGAATTTTACGGGAACTAACGATAAGTACGACGAGTGGATCCTCAATCAGTCGCCTAGCGTAATTATTAACAAAATCATTTCTACCTAGATATGTGACTAACTACCTAATCATTATTTATTAGCCATCAGTGATTAACCACTAATGAGTGGTCATAGAATAAAGTTTATTAACTAAACTACGTTTACAAGATTGCGAAGCAGCGCGGTTAGATGGTGCCACTATTGGGTCGTTCGTCGATCATCGTTCTTTTGAAGCGTTCTCCGGGTCGAATTAGAAAGTAGGGTAAACACTAAGATGGAAGTGTACATCAACTGACCAGTTAAAGGAACGAGCGAATGTTTACAAGGTAGAAGGAACAATACAATCGATTAGTGTTCAATGCGTATGGATACAGGGTGGGGCTAGGAACCTGTCATCCAGGATGGACTTCGAAGATATGCTTGAAACAACAGTGAGGTCATTGAAATATGTTCATGTTTGATCAGAGATCACACACAAAGTGGTCATTAGTGCTTTGAATCAGGATAACAACCATTGTTACCTAGTGCGAAAAGCATTGGGTATTGAGTTTTACAACCAAGAAAGGCTGAGCCGATTGGAGGCCAGTACTCATTCGGCGTTGGGTTGATCAAATTCATCTACCTTTGCTTTTGACTAGAAGCAGGAGCAGTTTATCGAAGTAGTTCTATAGTTTTTAATATCGGCAAGAATGTGTCTAGATATCAAGGTTTACTACGATATCACCTGCATTACAGTCAACTTCCTTAACTCGCATATATATATATATATGTATGAAAGTAGCGCTCGTTGGAAGAAATGGATTTTGTACAATCACAGCTAAAACAATTCTCCATTTGTCAGCATTGGTACATTCTATCAGCAATTAGTTTCCGGATACGGAAACTCACTAAGTGAATGCTTATGTGCCAAGACCAGTTCCATTGGATGTATGGATACTGGAAATAGGACTTTGCAAAAACAACACACTGAAAAAATATTTCAGAAACACACGCTCAGTAATATTTTGGACAAAGAGTGATAGAGAATCCATTTACATCATTAAAAAGTTTTGAGAATACTGATGCTATTCGCCACAACTAAAAAATAAATGCATGCTTTATTCTCGACAGTGCGGGGCAAGACTGAAATGGCATGATCATGATAAAACAAATACGTATGGTCATTAACTGGACAAATATGTCACGAGATAACCAGTAACATACTGAATCTATGTGTGTGTGGGTGAGCCGACTGGCAGCGTGCGACTGATGTCTGTTCGCTTGCTACTCGGAAGAGGTAAGGTTGTCACATGCGTGATGTATATTACAGTACGATTGGAAAAGTGGGACGGATTGCCGTATGAGTTCAATCCAATTCATCACGACACGCGTCTCTACGAGGGACAGATAATTCGCATTCGTTGTCAGGTTATCCAATCGGAGTGGTGTGTCTAACCGCAAACCTGTATACCTCGGGCAGGAATTTCTCTCTGCTCTGATAAGTACTAGCCCATAGGTCAAGGATGGAATTCATAGTTGTGAACAGACAGGCGAAAACTTGCGGCCCGGAGAGTGGTTAGATTTGCCAGATAATTTTAAGCCCACGGTATGCTCCCTTCCTTATTGGATTAATTTTTTAGTGATGGAACGCGAGGATACAGTCACCTCAATGAATGTTATGCAAACTAAGTTACGACAAGTCGCGGATGATCCTCGCGTGGTGATTCTTCGATTATATTGGGAGTGCGGGCTTAAGGCAGCCGAGACAGCGAAAAGGTTGTAGTGCACCGGAAAGCATGCTCTTTCAGTATCTTATAACATTGGATTTTATGGTTGTTTTAACCTTCGAAACGTCCATTTGTTTAACTGACTGCACGTCCGTTGTCACACAAAACCGTTTTGGTGAGTTCCTTGCTGCAAGTTTCTCGCTCTGTCTGATTCGCTTCCTATTCTTGTAGCCTGCACAATATACGTTGGGTTCAGTCGCCTCTGACTTCTATACTGTCGTATTTGACACGTCTTACGTGTCATTACTTACTGACTAGTATCCCAGGTTCCGCCCAACAATTGGTGACCCCCTGTCAGGAACACGCTGCCCGCCATTTTGCATTTTCCTTCTGGTGAGCTCGTTCCAGTGATTTTGTGATTCATTACTTGTGATCATATTGTTTTCTCACCTACCACCTTTTTACCTGCTTTTTGCAATGGATTATCTAGAGAATAAGCCATCTCCATGCGCGGCTAACGCCGTTCAGCCTGTCATGGTCAACTCTGTTGCCTTAACCCCTCCCCGTTTTGGGAGAATGATCCTTTATTATGGTTTTTGCATTTAGAATCCGTATTTTATATTCGTAACATTTCTTCTGATTTCGCCATGTATAAGCAGTTAATATCTTGCCTTCCTTATAGTATATCCTCGCAGGTGAGAGACGTCATACTTTGCCCCCCTCTAGTAATGAAATACGAGACGAAATACGAAACAGGCTATTATTCAGCGAATCACGCCTTCTGACAAGGTCCGTTTGCAGCAACTATTTAGTGATCTGCAGCTAGGAGATAGGATGCCTTCAGCCTTGTTGCGCGAAATGCAACAGCTCATCGGCACGTCCAACATGGACGTAGGGCTTCTCCGCGAGATGTGGATGCAACGCCTTCCTGCAAGCACTCAATCTATCCTTGCAGTAGCAAGGGACTTGCCAATCACGACAATTGCAGATCTAGCAGACCGCGTCATCGAACGGCACCAGCCAGAGAATGAAACCAGAGCACTTAAGCAGCTTTGCGCCGGCACAACCACAACGACAGGCGCGACTAGCCCTCCGTCGGCAATAGACGCATTATCATTGCAGATTGCGTCGCTTCAGCGCCAGATCAAAGAACTCACCTTAAAACGTAAGCACAGCAATCGCTCTGGATCATCGCACCGTCGCACAAAACCTGATGCCTCAGGTTACTGCTTTTACCACTCGCGTTTCGGTACTAAAGCCCGTAAGTGCGTACAGCCGTGTAGCTACTCCGCTATAGATGATCCGCCACGCCGGGCTGTAATGGCCACGAACGTCGGCAAAGCCCGAAGTCCTCTCATCTACATTAGGGATTATGGCTCCGATACCCAGTTCTTAGTTGATACCGGGGCGGAAGTCAGCGTCATTCCCCCTATGCCAGGTGAGCCTACCGCTTCTCTGTCGACAAGCCTCAGTGCCGCCAATGGCACGCCAATAGCCACCTATGGTCATCGGTCACTTACCCTGGACCTAGGTCTTCGGCGCACGTACCGCTGGGTATTCACTGTCGCTGCAGTCCCCTTTGCCATCATCGGCATTGACTTTCTCAGGCATTTCGACCTCTTGGTCGATGCGAAACGCCAGATGATAGTCGACACTGCAACAAAATTCAGCGTACGTGGCATCACCGCCGATGTGACATCTATATCCCCGGTCTATGCATTTCCCCGGACCTCGTCAGCCTACGGTAATCTCCTTTCTCAGTATCCCAAGCTCGTTCAGCCAATGAACGCAGCTTTGCCCGTGGCAGCTCAAGTCACGCACCATATACGGACGAATGGCCTACCTGTGGCATGCCGTCCACGCCGACTATCGCCTGAGAAACTAAAGGTAGCTAGGGCGGAGTTTGAGCACATGCTTGAACTTGGAATAATCCGCCCTTCCGACAGCCCTTGGTCCTCGCCTCTGCAGATGGTCCCCAAGAAATCTGGTGACTGGCGCCCTTGCGGCGATTACCGCGCACTCAATCGCCTAACCGTCCCAGATAGGTATCCCATCCCACACATGCAGGACCTTACCACATGCCTCACAGGTAAAACGATCTTCAGCAAGATCGATCTGGTTCGCACCTATCACCAGATATCTGTGGAAGACAATGACATTCCTAAAACAGCCGTCACCACTCCGTTCGGTTCGTTTGAATTTTTAAGAATGCCATTTGGACTGTGCAACGCCGCACAAACCTTCCAGCGCTTCATCCACGACGTTACTCGTGGCCTTGACTTCGCATATGCCTACCTCGATGATATCTTAGTAGCCAGTACATCGGAACAAGAGCACCTCGAACACCGAACTCTGTTCCAGCGCTTGACCCAACACGGTGTCACAGTCAACCCGACTAAGTGCGAACTCTGCAAATCAACGGTAGAATTCCTAGGCCACCTCGTTTCATCGTCTGGTATCGAAGTTCTGCCTGATAAGATCCAGGCAATCAAGGACTTCCAAGCTCCGACGTCTTTCAAGCACCTCCGTCGATTTTGTGGTTTGGTCAACTACTATCGACGCTTCATTCCACGCTGCGCTCAGCTCATGCAGCCACTGACTGATTTACTCAAAGGAAATGAACGTAAGTTCGCTTTCCCTGAAACACCACAGGCAGCCTTCGCAGAGCTCAAGGAGGCCATCTCCAACTTAGCCCTCCTCGCTCATTCCGAATCAACTGCACCTCTTTCTATTACGACTGGTGCCTCAGACGTCGCGGTAGGAGCCGTCCTCCAACAACACGTTGGTGGGCGCTGGCAACCCCTTGGGTTCTTCTCCAAGCGCCTGCAGCCAGCGGAATCCCACTACAGCACGTTTGGCAGAGAACTGCTCGCCATTTACCTAGCAATACGTCACTTCCGGCACACACTTGAGGGCCGCGCTTTCACGGTCTACACTGACCACAAGCCCCTTATCTTTGCCTTCAACTCTGCTTCCGACAATTACTCACCAAGGGAAACAAGACACCTAGACTTTGTCACGCAGTTCACTGCTGACATACGTCATG